GAACCACATTTTGAAAAAGAACCGCCCTCAATCCGTGAAGTTCCTGCAAACTTTTAAAATGAATACGTGGGGCGCTAAGGCGAGAACCACATGTTGAAAACGACCCGCCCTCCATCTGCGAATCTGTTGCCACTTTTTAAGCTTCAAAGTCATAAATTGTGAGGAAGTCTCAGGCGAAACGCCCAGCACGCCCTAAAAACTGGCCTCGGGGTGCGACAGGGAGAATTCGTTTATACGGAAAAGGAATGGAGGAGGAGGAGGAGGAGGACGAGGAGGAGGACGAGGAGGAGGAGAAGTGCCTGTGAGGCAAAGGGCTCTGGCTCCTGAGCCCGAACACCTCCCACGGGCCTGCGGGCGAACTGCCCCCGACCCGGGCCTCGGGAGGGTCATCGCGGAGGAGGAGGAGGAGGAGGAGGAGGAGGAGGAGGAGGAGGAGGTGGAGGAGGAGGAGGAGGAGGAGGAGGACCTCCTCATCCTCCCTTCCCCCCCTTCCTACCTATGGTGGTGGTGGTGGTGGTGGAGAAGTGGCCCGTCAGCATTGAACAAGTGAAGACATCTTGGAGGTCTGGGGCAGGCAAGGTCGGGGAGGCGCACCGCAGCGCCGGCGCACCGGCGCATCGGCGGGAAGGAGAGGGACCGGGCTCTCCAGATCGCACCGCATCGCCGATGCCGAGGAGGATGAGGAGGAGGAGGAGGATGAGGAGGAGAAGAAAAAGGAGGAGGAGGAGGATAAGAAAAAGGAGGAGGAGGAGGAGGAGGTTGGAGGAGAAGAAGGAAGGAGGGGGAGGAGGAGGATTGTCTCGGATGTATATTTAGTCAGCGGGTCGTGCACTCGCACCTCAGCCCCTAAGGGGGCGGGGTCTGGCCGATGCGGGTGTCCGCCGCGCAGACTAAAGCTGGGGGATGACGGATAGCCACGATACTGAGGTGCTTAGTGAGGAACACCCGTCGATGTTCCACCTCTTTATCGATTTCGCTGGCCGCCACCCCCTCCTCACCCCATGCCCCAAAGTGATCCTGTCGAATCGGGGCTCCTACGGGGTGGCATCCCATATTGGGGGAGCGAACTTGCCGCAGCAGTGGTCCGCAATTTGACTCCTGGCGTGCACTGCCCAGCGGTTCCCCTCCGGGGAAGAAGCGGATCCCAAGGTGGGCCCGATTGCTTCCCCGCCGCTGAATTCAGGGGCTCTTGCACTTAGTGCAGGGACACTGGCAGGTCGGGCAAACGCTGGGAGCTGCAGCCCCAGCGTAGGTGTGGCAAAGCGGCAGGGGCCCCAGCCCATGCAGGCAGCCTGCGACGCTTGCGTGCTGAGTGCCACTTCGGGGGGGACCCCCTGTGAAGATGGCTGCCTCTCTGCACATACTAGCACCTGTGCCGCGCGATAGCGGCACAAACGGGGCGTCGCCCCATCGGGGTGACTTCCCCTTGCGAGGTTGGATGCCGTGAGCGTTCCAGTCGCATGTTGGTGCCAGTGGCCCGCGTAACGGTCTGGACGGCCGTAGTTTTTAGCAAGGCCGCGAAAGCGACATGAAACAGGATGCCACAACAAAGTGTGGCTCTTTTTCCTCTGTTTGGTCAGGGCAGCAGGACGAGTGGCAGCAGACGCATGGTAGAGTTAGCGTCTTGCGAGCATTGTTTACATCGCACGTGCACGCATCATTACACTCGCTCGGAATCTCTCGAAACTCACCCCTTCTACAGTCACACAGTATGGTTGGCTTGCTGATCCGGTCGAATCAGCGGGCCAGGGGCTACCGCGAACTTGCTATGCAGTGGTCCGTAGTCCCTGGCCCTAACAGCCTTGCTGCGCGGGTAACTCTTGTGGGGCCGAAGCCCCAGCTCTAGGAGACGCCATGTCTCTGCACGTACAACAAACATCATGGATACATCCCGTACGAAGCGATCGGGGAGGAGGAGGAGAAGGATGCGGAGGAGGAGGGGGTTGGAGGAGGAGGAGGAGGAGGAGGAGGAGGAGGAGGGTGCATCCTTGGGAGCCTCTGGGGGCACGCAGTCCTCTAGCGCCCCATCAGCGCCCGGCCCGCCTGGGCGACCCCAGGAGCCCTGAACCGACCAGGGAATGCATCCCCTTGGGCGCTCTGGTCTTGTAGGTCGGGCATGTCCAAGTGCAGGCGGATTATGGAGGACAAATTCCCAAATAGTCGAAATAGTCCAAATGCGCTAAAATTGTGAAACAAATAGAACCATCGTCCCCAGATTGTGCTCTTAAGATTATGTGTTGACAACTCCTCCTGTAGAGGGGCACGCCCGATTCAATCTTACTTCCGCCAGCCTCCGCCGTCCTTCCGCTGGCGGAGCCGCCCCTGTTCTACTGCCGCCACCTCCCCCAACGAGGCAGAGATGCAAACCTCGTCAATCCCCGAGTGCGAGGCCCTTCTCTGGAGCGCCTCCGTTGGGAGGCCCAGGGGGGTTGGGGGCGTCTTTGTTGGTCCGCCACAGGCCCTTGACCTCGTCAGGATCCGAGGCCCCCACAAGGAAAGG